TGCTGTCTCAAAAGATAAGATGGAGAGTGATCAAAGACCACATCTGCTGCCAAGCCCTGGCCTCCATGTGCACATCCCCACACACGCATGTGCACCCTCATATGAGCACAAACACACACACACAGGAAGGGAAAGAGAGGGAGGGAAGGAGCTGTGGAGTGTGTAACTTTCATGTCACAGTAATTTATTCTGCTTAATATATTTTTAAACTATTTTGTTTAGAAGTAGCCAAACGTATTTAACTTTTTTAAATGTCTTCTTTGCCTATTCCAATTCACTCCAAAACCCCAGAAAGAGAAACAAATTGATTTGTATTCCATCATTTTTTATGATGATAAGGAAGGCATGGTATGATGGTACACCGCTTTAATCCCAGGACTCAAGAGGCAGAAGCAAGTGGATTTCTGTGAGTTCAAGGGCAGCTGGTTTACATATCTATCGAGTTCCGAGACAGCCAGAGCTACATAATAGAGACCCTGTCTTAAAAAAAAAAAAAGGAAAGAAAGGTGTAGACTGTTAGGAAGAAATGATGGTGTAAAGAAAGGAATCTCCTATCAACAAGACAGTAAGTAGTTGGACTTGACAGTGTGCTCTGATTCACTCTTCATGGGTTCCACCATCAAATCTAGAGAAGTATCTTCAGTATGCTGGTGACCCCATGTGTCCAGTAGCAGTCAGTGGGACTTAGCTGCTCCCTCTTCAGTTGTCCAGGGGCACCTGGTAGACCCAGTGGGAGAGCTTGAGGAACCGGAAGTACAAGTCAGGCTTTATCCAGTAGATTTCTAAGTGCTTGTCCATCTTTTTACTTGTGCTCGTTCATTCGGGGTCTCTACAAGGTTGACATGCTTGCAGAAGACACCGAGCCTGAGAGGCATTACCCAAGGTCTCACAGGCAGGTAGTCCTGGCTGCTTTTTTATTCCCACTCAATGTGATAGATCTGAGTAATACTATAACTGTTATAAGTTGAGAATAGTGATAACTGTTTTCAGTGTGGATATGTCAGCACTTTTCCTCAGGTAATTCTACTCAGACAACCAAGCCCTTGACAAGTCCATTCACAAGGCAGCCCATCTCCCTTCCCTGGCTGCCCTCTGGTGGAGACATCCACAAAGAACAAAATAGACCCAGAGCAGGCAAGAAGCAAGCATATTGGTCTCAGAGTGAGTGCCCTATCACCTTAACATGATAGGTGCCCGGAGCCCAGAGCACACAGACCTCTTCTGTTGTCCCTCAGGGCTCCACCTGCACCCGTGTGCCAAAACAATGGGACTATTCACCATGCCTGCCCTGCCGTGCCTGGCCACACTGTAGTACATATACACATATGTCTACACTCCCTAACACATACAAAAATAAATAATTCAGATAAAAATGATGACTGATTAGAAAAGTGACCAGTCAAGGATTCAAGGAAATCCCTGGATGCAGGAGACAAACAAAACAAAACAAAAATCTTTCACCAGACTTCCGGGTTGTTGCTAGACTCCTAGTACCTTGCTTCTGGGGCTGTGATTAAAGAGTGTGACGTCTCTCGGTGTTTGGTGGACAGGGGACGGTTGCCCTGGCAGGGATTCCCAGGACCGAGAGGCATTCTGCAGTGTGAGCCTCCACACATGAGTTCAAGTCCCTTAGGGAGGGTGACAGCTCAGCATTTGACCACTGGAAATTACCCATGACCATTACATCAAGATTAGCCCGTTAAGGGGACACAGTGGGAAATGTATTTTCTTTTTCAGTTTCTGTATCAGGTATTAACGGTGTTCCTAGTGGTAACTCAGTCCTGGACAGCTCACCACCAAGGTTTGATTTCTTTAAGGGTTCCCTGTACAAAGTCTAGAGATAAGATTCAAAAGGAAGGCAGCTGTGACTTCAGCAGCCTTATCACCCAGCCAGGCCAGCTAATGGAAAATAAGTATAGGTATCTGGGGAAAAGACGGCAGCAATGATAACAGAAAAGCCTTCTGCAAACAGCTGGCTTCCCCAGGAATGGGGAAATAGGCCTTCCATGTGCTAGGCAAATGAAAATGAATGGAGCCTTGACCTGGCATATTGTTTCTTTGGCCCTCTTACGGGTTTCATGTGTGTGTGCACATGTGTGTGTGTGCTGTGTGTGTGGTGTGTGCACTAGTATGTACATGGAGGTGAGTTGAGGCTTGTCCTTATCACTTTCTGCCTTGTCCTTTAAGGCAGAGTTTCTCCCTGAAACTGGAGCTTGTGGCTTTCAGCTGAGCTGGCCGCCAGTCAACCCCAGCAGTCCTCTGTCTCCTCCTCCCTCGGTGCTGGGGTTACAGGCAAATGCAACACCATGGCTGCTTGCTGCATGGGTCTTGAGGTCCAGACTCAGGTTCTGACACTTGTGCAGCAAGTACTTTTAATAACCAAGTCACCTTCCAGCTTTGATGGTTAGTCCTAGTTGTCAACCTGACACAGCCTAGAGTCACCCATGGAGAGAGTTTCAACAAGAGATTGCTGAGTCAGGATGGACTATGAGCATGGCTGCTGCAGACTTCTCTTTAATTGCATGAGATGAGGTGGGAATACCCCGCCCACTGTGGGCAGCTCCATTCCCTGGGTTTGGGTCCTGGACTATGTAAGAGCAGGGAAAGGGAACTAAACACGACATGTGTCTGCATTCATCATTGACTGTGGGTGTGATATCACTAGACCTTTTAAGTCCTGCTTGCCCTACTACCTGACAAAACCCCGTCTTCCTTTAAGACCCAAGTCAACTATGACCCCATCAATGAAATCTAAACCCCAACCCCCACAGTAGCAAGAGAGTCCCCTCCTAGGTCATCAAACACATTTTGTTCATCCACTATCATTTGCAATTGTACAGAAATTTCAACATTATCTCCTTTCCTAGACTTGTTTCAATGTTCTGCCTGAGATGTACAAGGGGTTTCATAGTTAATTGTTGATTGGGTGAGTACTTCATTAAACCCTCAGTTGGGAGAATCGAATGAAAATTGTGCAAGTTCTTCTATTATAAACAATAAGCAATTCTTTATTTTGTACTTTTAGGACAAATGTAATTTGTTGATGATAATATTCACATCCAAGAATAGTTCCAAGAGACTGAGAGAAGTGAAAGGGAGTGGGAAACAGAGTTCTCAGCCCCTCTGGCCTTCACCTTCCTCACCTCTCCCAAGACACAGGCACCAACGCTCTCTGCCTATCAGTCCCTGAAGATTCCTCCCCCACCCCTGCCTTTCAGTTTGTCACTTTTAACTCGAAGGTCCCCTAACCCTTTGCCAGGATGGCAATCTACAGTGACGGTGTGCCTGTGTTACTGGTACACTTGGATTGAAATTCCACACTAGAGAGAAGATGTAACTCCTCAGCCTATCACTGTGTCATCGTGCTCGTTAGCCCCCATTGCCTGGACAGATAGGGAATCCAGACTATTGGGATCTACTACCATGATGACTTCCGCAGTTACGGTTTTTCCAATTCTGCATCCTGTGCCCTCCTCCTGCTCTTCTCTCCAAAGTGAGCAGGTTCTCAGAGAGCAGGCTACCACTCAGGTGTGGGGGAGGGCTTGGAGAGACCCCTCCCTGAATCTGTGCTGGTCTCTCAAGTATCTGCACTGGTTCCTAGAGGTTCCCTGGCTTCCTATCATCCTAGGTGCTGGCCCTGCCATTGACTCTGCTCAATGAAGTCATTTCTCTGTGTCGTTGTCTTCTTAACCTCAAACTCACCTCAAGCCACTCTGCCCTCAGCGCTTCCAACTCCCCAGAAGCACGGCCAGTTCTTGAGCAGCCAGATGTCGCATGGCTGTGGCTCACAGTTGCTGGGGAACAACTCAGGTCCCCCTTTGGCCCAGCTCTCATTGTTGGTCATCTCACTTTCAGGCATTTGCCAGCACAGAACTCCTGTAAGGCATTCCCCGCTTTGTTGAGCTCTGCTCTATGAAAAGGAGAGAATCCCTTTCCACCTGAGCCTCCCAGTATTTTATCTGGTGTTTGTGCCCTCCAGGCAGCCAGAGTTGAGCCAGGCAGGGAGGAAATATGAGTCCCTTCCCCCTCCTGCTCCCTCCTGCGCTACAAAGGCTTCCTGTTTTCCAATTGACAGCCTTGGGGCCAACTTCTTCCCCTTCCTTTCTTTCTCTTATTTCACCTCCTTCTCAGCCTTGGGAAAAGGGTGACTGACAATGTGCAGGGGATGTTACCCTAAATGTCCTGCTACACTAGTTAGAGTGTGTCCATTCCTGGGAAAAGCATCACCTTGTACATAAGTCTGTTTCCTTCAAGCATGACGTAGCCATGGAAGAGTTGGGGTACCAAATGCAAAAGTCAGAGAAACGACCCCACCTCAAAAGAAACTGCCCACCCTTGCATGACTGACATGTGTTGACTGGATGCGCGGCCTCCTCCTAACACAGAAAGCAGAGTAGATCATCTGTGGGCAGAGGAGAAGGAAGGGGGGGAACACAAGCTGCCTCATTGCTAGGGAGTTCAGGTCTGCAGTATGTGGTGCATCTCAGCTGTCCCTTGAATAAGGGTCCCCACAGAACCTTTCCTGGCCTGTTTTATAGCCTGGCATCAAAGAACTAGACCTGTGGGGATGTGTCTCTGTTGGTAGAGTGCTTATTTAGCGTGTGTGAAGCCTTGGGTTCAAAATAGCACTACATAAAATGGTATGGTGACACATGTGTAATCCCAGCATTCAGTAGGTAGAGGCAGGGGCCGGGGGGATCCTGGTCATCCAACCCAAAATACACAGAATCCTGTCGATAAAGAGAAAAAGAAAGACTGTTCATATAAGCCAGAAGTTTGAACATGTACATCTGCCAAGGTCGTGCCTGCTGAGCACCATTCTGTGGCCCTGTGCTCACTGGACCTCTCCTCCGGGTTCCTCTTGGGTGTGCGGAGCAGCTGGAGAGGGGATCTTCTCCAGGGTTTTTGGACTCAGAGAGCTGGTGTTCCTGAAGTTCTGGGATGAGCGAGTGGAACCCCTGTCTCACGGTCACACCCCGTCACACCTCCTTTCCCCACAGGATGGAACCGTGCCTCTGTGGATCGCATCCCAGATGGGCCACAGCGAGGTGGTGCGCGTGATGCTGCTGAGGGGAGCCGACCGTGACGCTGCACGCAACGTGAGTGACAGCCCCCAGCCCAGCCCCGACTGAGCTCACCTGTGGCCGGAGCAAACATAGTGTTTACCACTCAACTGGACCTCTGACCTCTACCTGCTCTTCAGCAGGAAACAATCAAAGTCCAACTAAGTGGAAACTTAACAAGTGCTGTCGCCTTCCCCCACCTCCATCTGAGGTGACTTCTGGAAGAGCTGGGGAAGGGAACATGCAGGATCTATGGAGAGGATTCCGGCAGAGCCCACTGTTGGCTGCTGCACCTGACTCCTGCCCCCTGCCCCCTGCCGCAAACCCATGTTACATCCTCCAAGCACTTCCTCTCCACAGCTGCCTTCCGAGGGTGGTGCTGAACCCTGCCAGCCTGTGCCAGGCTGCAGGCTCATAGCAAGGAGAGTGACGTGGGGAGACTCTACCGGCTAATGGCGGTCGGGAGCCTCGTGTCTATTGTGTCTGATGGACCTTGTGCCTTCTTTGTGCTGCTCCCTATGGAATCTAAACTCAGAAAGGGGAAACCTGAAGGCATTGGTCCTACCCCCCCTCTTCCGTTATCTTCTTGTCACCTCAGAAATTAGAAGAGACAAATCCCCCCTCACACCCTCCTCCCCCTTCCCGTTCCAGATGAGTTCTACAACAGACAGAAGACAGCTGAGACCAGGTCCTCCAGACACCGCCATTGATATCAGCAGGAAACTAATGATTTAGAAAAGTCTGTCTTTGAGCCAAAAATGATCACTGAAGATGGATTTTTAAATCTGTCTGTGCAGTTTTTAAAAGATTAATCAAATTTTGACCTATTCCTCCTGTATTACCACCACCATACATAGGCCAATGAATGCGCAGGGCAGGTGAAGTCAAGATTACATGTATTTTAAGGCAACCAATGCAGTTCAATAACATAAATCACTACAGGCAGTTAAGCAATCTCCTATTGGGCCCATGATAACCCTAAAATATGGTCTTGAAACTCCCCTTGTCCTTGATGCAGTGTTCTTGGGCACTAGAGGAGCATCTGACTTACCAAAAGGCAGGCTCCTACGATAGACAGTCACCCGCTGCGGATGACATCCTCACAGGCAGTCACTGCCTACTGTGCCCCTGTCTGCCCTAGACTGAGACATTGCTGATTTGTCAGCTGGCATTTAGTTCTCAGCTAATAATTAACTCCCATGTCCCCTCTCCCTTCAGGACGGTACCACAGCACTGCTGAAAGCCGCCAACAAAGGGTATAATGATGTCATAGAGGAGTTGCTCAAATTCTCACCTACTCTCGGTATTTTGAAGGTAAGACCTGAAGAGAAATTATGCCATTCTATCAAAAGGAGAGATAGGTTAGCCAAGAAATAGTGGTGACTGACATAGAACTGAATTACCATTAGCTCAGGATCTCTGGGTCCAGGTAGAAATAGGAAGATTGTAAAGAAAACACTCTCCTAATACCTAGCTTTTCAGGGGAAAAGATAGCATAATTGGCACCAAAACAGGGAAATGAGCTATTGATATCATTTGGAAGATTCCTAAACTCGGAGGAGGACACGCCCTTCCCTTTCTTCATCCCCGAGTAGAGACCCACTCTGCTTAGTTAGCTTCAGTGTAAAATTGAAACATCCGGGGCCTCAGATAGTGGGTTTTTCTGGAGACTAGAAAGGCTTTCTTAGTCACCTTGGGTGAAGCCTTTCTGTGCTGCAGTGCATGTAGCTAAGAGCCAACACACTGCTCCTGTAGAGCACCAGTTGCGTTGGGGTCTTGTGAGCCTGCAATTCCTGCCGCCCTTCCTCCGTTCTGCTGTCTCAGGGCAACCAGAGAAAGTGGCAACAGCAAGAGAGCGTGGCTACGTCCATAGCTGTAATTGATGAGTATATGCTAATGAAATTACACACTTGAGCATGCTGCAACATATTCGTAGCTTTCAGGGCATATGAGAAAAGAGAGTGGACTAGGCTTACCCCATAGGCAGCTGTTGGCTGACTGCAGGAAGCATTTACACTCCTGTTTTGTTAAGTGAAGACCACTAAGTCTTTTCTAAGTTGACACTGTGGCTGTGGCCTAGCAGTTTGGTGGCTGTGTCCTCAGGACCTATCAAGACATGCAAACCCTTTGCCCTGGCATGACCCCATAGAACGGACTGGAAACGTTCTAGCTGCCCTTCACATTTTAGATCCCATTCTTATCAGAGTCTAATAAAGAATCGCAGTGTTCGGTGTGTCAGCCCTGTCTCTTTTCCTAATGAACCAGCTACTTCCGGTCCTCCGCACAAACTTGGGGATCAGGACGTTATTATAAGCATTTGAAGCATAATTTACTGACAAACTGACAAAATAAACTTTAAAATGGGCTTGGAAGTATCTATCTATTCATGCTTCACATGGTTCTTCTTCTCCTTCTCCTTTCTTCTCCTTCTCCTCCTTCTCCTTCTCCTCCTTCTCCTTCTCCTTCTCCTTCTCCTTCTCCTTCTTCTTCTTCTCCTTCTGTCTTTTTATTAGCTATTCCATGCATGTTGGCTAAGACTTGCCCATTTGGGCTAGTACCAGCCTAGTGAATTAGTATTCCAAGTGTGAAAGCAACCAGAGAAAGGCAGCTTTGCTACAATTTTTTTTCCAGGTGTGACTTTTTAAATTCTACCAAATCGTGGTGACTCTGGGTCATCAAGCAGGAAAGCTAGCTTGCACTGTAGTGCTGTTGATTGGTAACCTTGCCCACTGGAGCCAACGTCCTATGATGGCACCCCATTCTTCTGTGAGTTTGGTTATAGTCTCTCCCCCTCCCCTCCCCCATATAGTATTTGGCTATACATCTACCACCTACTATCTAGCTGTGTGTCTGACGACACCGCAGCAGGTACTGCTGTGACTTTGAAAAGTGCAAAGGAAAGATACAGAGCAGTAAGACTGTGTTGTCCCCACGGCATCCCTCCGACGGTTTATGATGAAAGTCAGGCAGAGCGCCGAGGGCTGTGAGCTCAACTCTTGACACACACTATCATTTTCTCTTAGAATGGGACTTCGGCTCTCCATGCAGCAGTGCTCAGCGGGAATATTGAAACAGTTGCGCTGCTCCTGGAAGCAGGGGCAGATCCAGCCTTGAGAAACAAGGTACACACTCAACCCATCCCTTAACCACATGGGCCCCTGTCCAAAAAGACCACTTCGTAGGGCAAGACAAACAACTGTCAGGCTCCTGAATCGATTTTTATAGTTATACACAGTAAGGGCAGGGCTGCAATTATTAGTTATTCCTAGCCAATGCATTTAGACCCAAGAAATTGTGTTAAAAAGCCTATATCATCCATGACTTTCTTTAACCGTTTTCTCATATAAAATGTGCAAACATTGTGGGTGGTGATGTATCTCAGTTGACAGAGAACATGCCTAGCATGCAGGATTCCCCCAATGCCACATAAATTGGTAGCGGTAGTACGAGGCTCTAATACCAGCACTAAGAGGATGGAGGCAAGGAATCAGAAACTTACAATACTGTGGCTTCCTGGTAGGGGGAAGAGGGAAGAATGTGCTCCAAAAATGTCAGTGTCCTGGAAGCCTGTCATCTCCCTGTAAGTTAGATGTGTATATCCTGAGAATTATTAATGTATGTTTGGTGACTGGGTCAGGAAAATGTGATTTATTTTGTCAGCAGGATTGCATGTCACCATTACAACACCAATCCATATTTTTATTACACTAAATCCTTAGATTAGAACAAATTTGGGATTCAGGGAGTTTACAGTCACAATAGAAAAGTTTGTCATTGTACTTCATCTTGATGTTTGCTGAAGGTACCTGGTGTGTAGATTGGAAGTTTAAAAGAAACCCATCAGGGTTGGTGTTGGCTTCTGATTGCAGTTGTTGTGATAAAAAGTTAGCTGACAAAAGGCGGTCTAGAGAAGGAAGGTTAATTTAAGCGCTCGATGCCATCACAGCTGAGAAGTTTGTGACTTAAAAAGTTTAGTGGCATTACGCCCACAGTCAAAAACACACAGCGATGAATGCAGACACATGTCATGTTCAGCTCCCTTTCCCTGCTCTTACACAGTCCAGGACCCAAACCCAGGGAATGGAGCTGCCCACAGTGGGCGGGTTTTCTTACCTCATCTCATGCAATTAAAGAGAAGTCTGCAGTAGCCATGCTCATAGACCATCCTGACTCAGCAATCTCTTGTTGAAACTCTCTCCATGGGTGACTCTAGGCTGTGTCAGGTTGACAACTAGGACTAACCATCAAAGCTGGAAGGTGACTTGGTTATTAAAAGTACTTGCTGCACAAGTGTCAGAACCTGAGTCTGGACCTCAAGACCCATGCAGCAAGCTGCCATGGTGTTGCATTTGCCTGTAACCCCAGCACCGAGGGAGGAGGAGACAGAGGACTGCTGGGGTTGACTGGCGGCCAGCTCAGCTGAAAGCCACAAGCTCCAGTTTCAGGGAGAAACTCTGCCTTAAAGGACAAGGCAGAAAGTGATAAGGACAAGCCTCAACTCACCTCCATGTACATACTAGTGCACACACCACACACACAGCACACACACACATGTGCACACACACATGAAACCCGTAAGAGGGCCAAAGAAACAATATGCCAGGTCAAGGCTCCATTCATTTTCATTTGCCTAGCACACGGAAGGCCTATTTCCCCATTCCTGGGGAAGCCAGCTGTTTGCAGAAGGCTTTTCTGTTATCATTGCTGCCGTCTTTTCCCCAGATACCTATACTTATTTTCCATTAGCTGGCCTGGCTGGGTGATAAGGCTGCTGAAGTCACAGCTGCCTTCCTTTTGAATCTTATCTCTAGACTTTGCACAGGGAACCCTTAAAGAAATCAAACCTTGGTGGTGAGCTGTCCAGGACTGAGTTACCACTAGGAACACCGTTAATACCTGATACAGAAACTGAAAAAGAAAATACATTTCCCACTGTGTCCCCTTAATGGGCTAGTCTTGATGTAATGGTCATGGGTAATTTCCAGAGGTCAAATGCTGAGCTGTCACCCTCCCTAAGGGACTTGAACTTATGTGTGGAGGCTCACACTGCAGAATGCCTCTCGGTCCTGGGAATCCCTGCCAGGGCAACCGTCCCCTGTCCACCAACACACCAAGAGACGTCACACTCTTTAATCACAGCCCCAGAAGCAAGGTACTAGGAGTCTGGGAGCAACCTGGAAGTCTGGAGAGAGATTTTTGTCTTGTTTTGTTTGTCTCCTGCATCCAGGGATTTCCTTGAATCCTTGACTGGTCACTTTTCTGATCAGTCATCATTTTTATCTGAATTATTTATTTTGGTGTATATGTGTGAGAGATTGTAGACATACATGTACTACAGTGTGTGTGGAGGTCAGAGGTCAAATCTCTGGATCCATTTTCTCCTGATACTTTGTGGAATCCCTGGATTGGTCCAGGGACTAAACTTAATAGGTAAGGCCTACATGCAAAGTCTACCCACTGAGCCACTTGCTGGCCCCAGTTTTATTTAGAAGAACAATTTGGGGCTTAATAGCTTACCAATCCAGAAGTCTCTTCTGATGAATTAGTAGTAATTTTACTGAATGTGCCTTTTTGGTATAGCACAAAGGAATGTGCCAATATTTGCACAACCTTCATGACTTAGTAAGCTAATATGTTCCAAATGTTATGACTAATGCTAGAACCTGTTGGTTTCCATGTAACAAAGTACAAAATCATTCATGATATGCTTGCAGATGCTACATGGCTGTTAGTAAGAAATGGCTTCTTAATTCGGCATGGTGGCACACGCCTGTAATCTCAGTACTCAGGAGTCTAAGGCAGAAGGATTGTGAATGAATGCTGTGCTATCCTGGGCTACATAGCAAGGCCTCTTCACCAAAAAAGAAGAAGAAAAACACCCACAGAAAGAGAGATGATTGAAGGGGGGAATAGATGTCCTTTGACACTATTCCTGGGGAGACCTGGAAAATGTCTACTCATCCCAGAGAAGGAACTAACAACAGATCAAAGTAATGATACTACCAAAGTCCAACTTGCTGAGCCAAAGAGTCTGCTGAGTTTCCTTACAGGAGTATAGGTGAGGGGTTACCTACAGGAGCAGGGAAGGCTCTAAGGCAGCTGGGTTACCAAAAGTCCACCCTAGCATGGGTGAAGCCTCTGAAAGCCTGACACTCTCCACTTAACTTGTGGCCTCGCTATGTGCTGGAGAGTCTTTTCCCTTCAGAAGTCCTTGGTGTTGATATAGCCTTGGTGGACAGAGGGATTCTCCTCCCTTTCCCAACCACCCATCGGTGTGCCCCTGATGTCACGTGCTCCACCCAAGACATCACCAGAGCCGGAGAGCAGAGGCAGACAGAAGCATCCAGCTGCCCTCTGCTAAGCCCTATACTAAAGAAATATGTAAGACCAATAAGCAATTCTACATCCCTAAGTTTTTTGTTCTTAAAAATGCAGTCTTTTTTTCAGAAATATATTTTGTATACCATCCTTTAGTGGATTTATTATCTCTCATTAACTAGGAAAAATATTTCATTGCTAAGTTATAAACAAATTAGAGTGGTGCATAATATTTAAGAGTATAAAATGGTCCTGAAAGCAAGGAAGCCCAAGAATTCTTTTCTTTATAACACATGATGCCTGTGGGGGAAAGTAACCCCCTAAATGCTCAATGATGTGACCAGTAGACTGATGACTTGTAACTTGCAGGGTCCTGTAGGAAGTCGTGACTACAGAAACTGTGCCTTTCTGGGTGTGTGTTAGGCTCAGAACACTGCCTGACTATTTTCTGTTTAGACGACACCTGGCTTGCTGCAGCATGCTCCTCCTTACAGGTGATAGCTAGAAAGTTCATTATCTCACAGAGGCAGAGAGTAAAGGCTGTCTAGGCAGAGCTCAGAGACAGGAGGAGGGTGAGAGTCGAGGCAGGCCAGGTATCAGGTACTAAAACAAAGTTAGTGGAGGGGATAAATTGAGGTCACAGAGCAGGCGATATACTTTACAATGACTTAGCATGTATTTTATAAAGAGCTAAGAGATGTTCCAAGCTTCCCTGACAAAGTAACAATGAATATCCAAGGAAACGGAGATACCAACAATCCCGATTCGGTAATCATATTTCGTATCTATGTATCAATTATCACACTGTACTGCATAAATCTGTCTGTACAAATGAAAATAATAAACAGGGGGCCAGAGAGATGGCTAGGCAGGTAAAGGTGCTTGCCAACAAGTCTGGCGGCCTAAGTTCAAGTCCTAGAACTCATTTGGTAGAAGGAGAGAACTGATTCCTCTACAGCTTACCCCCGCGCCCCCAAACACTGTATAATTTTTAAAATTAGGAAAAAATGTTATAAAAACAATAAATAAATTGGAATGTGGCCAGAAAAAATCCATCTTGAGTCCTCCCCATCAGATAAACCACTTCATTTAATTAAGTGAATATAAAAAAATTACCTGTGTTCATTCAGCAGGTATTAGACGTGCTAGGCATTGTGCTGAAAGTGAGGAACCAATGGTCTTTAGCACATAGGCCCTGCCCTCTGGGAGCCTCCAGGATGGTAAAGATTTGCTAAACACAAGCTAATGTGGAGGTGAGAAAATGGCAGCTTCTCCATTAAAAGTTGCCCCACTACGAGGCAGTGAGTGCGGGGGAGCTTTTTCACCAGGGAAGGACAAAATGTGGCTCACTAGGGAGAGTCACACCAGAGAGTGAATTCATAATGCCCATCTCGTCTTCTTTCAGGCCAATGAGCTCCCCGCAGAACTAACCAAAAATGAACACATACTGCGCCTCCTGAGAAGCAAAGAAGGACCCAGCAAGAACGAATTTGGTTCCACCCTAGATAGATAGAAACTTAAGCCACATTGTCCAGAGAGAAATGGTTTTTAACAATGTCGGAAATTCTTTGAAGAAAGAATGCTTACCATGTGGGCTTGTGCATTGTGCACGAAAATCCAAGAAGGGCTTAGAGTCCACTTCCCCTTACAGGGCTTCTCACACTGCCCTGTAACTTGGCCCTGGGGATATTCACAGATTTCACAGAAACTTATTTACAACTGTGCTAGCCTGAGTCCCTTGGTTAAACTTGATGTTCGACATGGTTTTCGTTCTAAAAAGGGGAGACAAAAGGTCTTGTTCTTTAAGAGTCAAAGATTGACCTTCAGCAAATCAATGCATTTTTGCTTTTGTGTTAAATGTAGCTATGCTAAAATATGTTACATCCATCATATTCATCATAGTTATGTATGTCCATTCGGTGTAAAATCTTTCCTGCCACCTGGAGACCATAGCCATGATACTGTGACCCGATGATACCTGAGCATCCATTATTTAAGATCCACTCTGACATTCCACTATGTGCTACTCAAAGATGAGACATTAACACATAGAAAAGATACAGTATGTTGGTTGTTGAAGCCTCATCTTATTCATAATATATAAAATCACTGTCTCTTAGTGGACCGTGTCTGTGTTTGAGGAAACCAGTGGAAAATCGAAAACCCCAAAAGCTGCAAACCATAAGTCTCTTTGAGCTTTGATTTTCGTTTTATTGTCTAGAGTCCATGTCCCATGCCACAGATGAGTGCACAACATGCTGTGGGATCTGGCTTCCAGCAGCTGTCTCTAACACACAGGCTTTGAGCTCATTGGACAAAACACGATATACATAAGTACTGTTGTTGTTACTGTTACTACTTGGGGAGTATCCATAGTAAAAGGCATTGGTAGCATTTCCCAGGTGCTCATGGGTGGACTGGATCCAAGAAAGAACCCCAAGTTTACTAATTGTTTCTTTGAGGGGCCCTAAAGTTGATGTTCAATGTCCTTTCAATGGTGTCTAGCTGCCTCTGTCAGTGCCTGACTGCACACACAGAAATCAAGTTTTCTTCTGTATCATACCCTATGAAATACTAGTAATACTTCTTTTTATTTAAACACGTATGTAATGGTCCTTGCTCATGTTTCCAACCAATAGTTTCTATGTAAAGTCATATTAACATGGAGGTAAAAGTAATCCTAAATTAGTTTTGCTTTAACCAACATGCAATGGTAGCATTACCTTTATGTCATTAATTGCCAGAATGAAACTTTTGAAATTAGAAGATAGTCTCTTAAAATTATTTATGATAAATTCAATCAGAATGGGGAGATTTTGATAAACATTGCTCACAAAGCCAGTACAAAGAGTATGAGACTCTTGCCAAAGATGGGCAGTGCAAAAATCCCCAGGGTAATTTTGAGACGAAAGATGAAAAAACTGAACGTTGCCAAAACACCAGACACAAATATTTGGCAGCGAAAGATCAGTGCCAACTTCCTCATTGGCAGCCTCTTACTCAGCAGAGTTATACTGAATATACACACTTGCCCTTGGGAATTTTGAAATGCTAAGAAAATAATGTGGCTGTAAATGCTTTGCATTTTAGTTAGCCCTATACCAGAACCAGCTGTTCATCACTGATCCAAAACAGAGGAGTAGTGTGGGTACCAACATTGAAATCAGGAACTTCGTGTTTTTCACTAAAACATGTTGGTCTGTCCCTCATATGAACTATTTTAGGACCGTGGAATTAATTCAGTATCTTTAGCAATACTTAATAAAAGACCTTTGTACTTTAGGAAACAGGCTATCTAGATTAGCATTTGATCTAGATGCAGTTTTGATGTCATCCTTGCAGGGAAGTTAAGAACTTACCAAAGACTGAACAAAATGTCTGTTGTTTCAAGAACCATGCTTCAGTTTGTTCTCCTGTAAAAGACTGTTGCTTTATATTAGTCTCATTAGCAATTCAGTTTTCATCCAAAGACTTAACACAAGAGGTTCCTATGAAATAAAATAATCTGTTTAACTGCACTACAAAAGCTTGCCGCTACATCCATTTGATTGACAGCACATTCCATATTATACTTCAAATAAAGTTAATACACTTCCTGATTTGCCTTTGTTGCTTTTTTCCCTTCTTTAAAAAATTCGGGTGTTATTTCTGTGGTTTTTTTTTTAAACCCTCTTTTTATGTTTATGGTTTGTGGAAGCAGCATTGGGGAACAATGTGCAGGAGTCATCTCTTCTTCCACTGTGTAGGTTCTGGGAATCAACTCATCGTCCTCAAGCTTGGCAGAAGGAGTCTTTACCACTGAGCCATTTCACTGTTCCCTATGTGGTTTCCAACAGAATAAAATTTCAGAGTGAGTAATTCAACTCACTTGTGAGCAATTCCCAAAGTTTTCCATTCAGACAAAGCTTTCTGGGCTAATCATTAAAGACAATGCAAATAGAAAGTTCTTTGTTTCTATTGTTATTGCTGGTGCTGCTCCTGGCCCATCAGCTCTTTGCTAACTTTCTCTTGTGAAATAGCTGACCAGTTTGCAAAACTTGGGTACTGGAAACATTTACAGCAGGGACATCAGGAATCTAGAGAAGACCCCTGTGGTGGGCTCTGGCATTCCTCTGTAACAAGAAGCTGTATGTCATTATTAATCCACCCTAGGAGGAATGGCACGGAGGAAAAAAAGAACAACCCCAATACATGGATGTTGGGGGGAGGGGGATGGCTGAAAATTTGGGATGGGCCTGCGCCTGATAGAGGCAAGACGCTGAGTTCCTAACTGCTTAACAAGGTGTCTGTAGTGCTGGAACTGGCCGAGTTCATATGGTAACCAGGGGATGTGTCACGGGTTAATAAAAAGCTAATGTTTGTTACAGGGTATTTCAGTGGTAAGCACTTACTGTAGATGATCTCATTTGCCCCACTGACAATCTTATCAAATAGGTGCTGTTAAAACTGATTGGAGTTTTGAGGTCAGAGCCTGAGCTCTGGCAGCCCAGACAAGCCCAACTCAGCCATTCATCCTCAATAAGCCAATCAAAGAAACAAGAAAAGCGAAAGGAAGAGTGTTTATTCGGTGGGCCACGTTGTGAAGAGGAACACATAAAGAGGTCTTGTGACCTGTCTCCCACCCCAAGTATATTTGAGGAGTACTGACATGCGGTTTGGGTTTAAATGGAGGCCAGAGGATATGTATAACAAGTTTGTTCTCTGTCTGGCATCAGAGCTGCAGCCTTTTCCTCTCCCAGCATGTGGTTCCGAGGAAATACCAGTTCCTTGGGGACCAAAGAGGGGGACCCAAGGGTCTCTCTTTAGAACATCTTCCAGTCATGCTAGGACTGCTGCATCGTCACTGTCTGACAATTCAGAAAACTGACATTGGGAGAGAGTTTTCTTGCCAGGCTATGATTTTTCATGTCATTGTCACACATCAGTTCACGCCCTTATGTCTCTTGAGCCTCAACATATTGTAAAAAAAGAAAAAGAAAAAGAAAAGCGAAAGGAAACAGGTATGCCGTTCTATGTTTTGAATGTGGTCTGCTGCTGCCAAAACTCACTTTGAGGCTTAACCCCTCACACATCAGTGTTGAGTTGGTGGGATGCTCTAGGGGCTAGAGCACATTAGGAGGCGAATGACTCATGAGCACCCTCATGGAAGCTTCTGTGCTGGTCTCACGTGTGGGTTGTACCTCCTAGGGGTAGCTCGATTTTCAAGAGAAAGTTGTTAGAGTGAGGCTACGTCCCTCCAGTCTCTCTTACTCTCTTGTGATCTCTTCAGAACACATTGCAATGCGCTTGCACGTGTCTCTACTTGATGTCACCTGCCATGTTTTGACATAACCAGGAAGCTCTTCCCATAACCTAAACAGGCCAGACTGCTAGTCTGGGACTTTGAGTCTTCAAACAATGACTAAATGGGCCTCTTTTCCCTATAAACTCCAGTAGGGCTGGCCTCAACCTTGGCCAGCCTTAATTCCTGGTCCTCCTTACTATCCTCTTAGTACTGTGATTACAAACATACACCATGATGCCCACATACCATGAACATTCTTGAACATGTCTACATTCAACATACACTCTCAATTCTATGTGGTTCTCCAATAAGACTTTTTTAGATTAAAAATGTTAGATATGTACGAGTGCTTTGACTGCATGTATGTGTATTCACCACATGCGTGCCTAGTGCATGCAGAGACCAGAAGAGGTTGCTGGATCCCATGAAATCCAACTTGCTCCCTTCTGAAGCAAGCTGAGTTTTACAGACCTCTCATTTAAAACATCTTCCAGCTACATCACATAAATTCAGTGTCAGTAGTTATGACTGCCTCAGAAATGGAACATTGCTGATCAGACAGGGTAAAATTTTATTCACCTCATTAAGTATGCTAACGTCTGATAATCCAGTCATGGACTGTGGCATAATTTCTACTCAAATAGGACACTGCCATCATGGGGGAAGCTTGCTCTTTAGTAGCCAGAGTTGCAAATTGGCACTGCTTTTTCTACAAGGTTCCACCACTCACATAACACATTCTTCTTTGCCTGGAGTGGAAGCAGACAGGGAAATGTTTAGTCACTTTGGACTATACTTTTGTGTTATGAGCACATGCGCACATGTATACACACACACACACACACCTTTTAATAAGTACACTATACTATGTATACTCACTCCTCCCTAAACAATGCACCTAGAAACCTGAAAATCCCCTCAGATCCTTACCTGTGTTGCGGTGTTGTGGGAGAAACCAAAGACTTAGGCTCAATTCAAATTTAGATTAAATGAATTTATTCTTACTGTTACGAGAAGGATGGCAGCCTTCAAGTCAATACAGTATGTCATACAGAAGGGGGACCACCTTAGGGTTTCTACTGCTGTGAAGAGAGACCATGGCGTCTCTTAGAGAGGAAAAACATCTAATCGGGGTGGGTCACATTTTCAGCTCTTCTGGGGTGCCTGGCTCCATAGTAAGTGTCTTTGGTCATCACAAATGAAAAGCATAAATTATCTAATGACTGGGATAGAGTCGTTCATTACCAGGTGGGCAAAACACAGTTGAGGCTAGCTGTCACCCCCCCACACCCGCATTGCTCCACCTCTGCCCAATACTATGAGACTCTCCTTCCCTAACAACAACCGTGTAGACCATTCGTAACCAAATGTATTGCCGATGTATTTAAGTACAAACAATACAAGTTCAAGAGGGTCTTGAGGTGTGTCTATGCAATACTACATGCTGTATCCTCCGAGTGAACTTTTAGTGAGAATTTCCTATTGTCTGCCTTAAACATATGCATAATCACGATTAAACCAGGTACATATGGGAAGGGACATGCATAGCAAAATGAATCTATGACCTAATCAATCAAAATAGAGAACCACTCAAAGTAGTCCTGTTAGCACCCAGCCCCTCGTTTTGGAGCCCATAAGGAAGGCCCAGGCTGCAACCTGAGCTCTTAACTACCCCCACTTTCGTCAGTTCCGGTATGGATCCTTCTTACTTCAGTAACCAGTGACTTACTCATTACTTAGCCTTTAACATAAAGTTGAGTGAAAGAAACTACATAAAAGAGCCACAGTTGTATTTACATGAAGTTCAAGAGAAGCAAAGTCAATGTATCGTGACACAAGTCAGTTGGGGTTCTGTCTCGGCTGGTAATGGGTCGCGATAGCTCAGGGAGGCTTCTGGAGTACAAAAGCCTCCCACCCTCCGTGGATGACAGGATTTAGAAATGCATGGAGACACACCCCTGTGTGCCTCTGTGAGGGTGTTTCCAGACATTTAACTAAGAAAGGAAAACCCACCCTGAATGTGAGAACCTCATCCCGTGGATTGGGGGTCCCAGACTGAGTTAAAGAGTGTGATAGCTTGAATGTAACTGGCCCCCCAAACACTCATGGGGAGTGGCACTATTAGGAGGTGTGGCTTAGACAAATAAGTAGCCCAGGGGAGGAAGGCTTCCTGGAGAACATGGCTTATAAAGGACAGTGTGATCAACTGTGTTGAATGCTACTAGGAAATCAAGTCAGATGAAAACAAAAGAGTACTACACAGTAAGCAATAATGGCCTTTAGAAGAGCAGGGAACTATGGGATTTCCCTGGCTTTTGAGAAAGGAGAGAATGGATGTGTGTGTGTGTGTGTGTGTGTGTGTGTGTGTGTGTGTGTGTATGAGTGCATGTGTATGAGTATGTGTGTGAGTGAGAATGTGTGTGCACATATGTATGAATGTGCATGTGAGAGTTATGTGTGTGAGTGTGTGTTAGTGTGTATGTGTGAGTCTGTGTGTATGTGTGTGTGTATGTGTATGAGTGTGTGTTAGTATGTGAGTGTACATGTATGATTGTATGTGTTAGTGTGTGTAATGTGTGTGCATTAGTGTATGTTTGTTTATCAACAACACATATTACAGGATAATATTCTTAACAACAGTCCTTTTCATGGGACTGGGGAAATATCGAAGTCAGCAAGGTGCTTGTCTTGCAAGCATGAACATGTTGAGTTCGGTTCCCAGAACCAATGTAAAAAAATCAGGTACAGAGGCATATGCTTGGGGAAGGAAAGACAGGTGCCAGCCAGCCTAGCCTAATTTATGAGTCCCAGACCTCCAGCTCCAGGTGAGAAACTCTGTCCCCAAAAACAAGGTGGGGGCTGGACAGCCCTTGCTGTTCTTGCTGAGGGTTGAAGTTCCGCTCCCAGAGCCTATTTTGGGCAGTTCACAACCACCTGTATTTCCAGCTACAGGGGATCTGGGAGTCCATTCTGGCCTCTATAGGCACCTGTATTCATGTACACATACCCATACTCATAAGTGTATACGTTGTAAAAATTATATTTAAAAAGAAAGGGGATAGCTCAGTGGATGAGAGTACTTGTGGCTCTTCCAGAGGACCTGTTCCCAGCACCTCCATGGTGACTCACAGGTGTCTATAACTCCAGTTTTAGGGGATTCGATGTCCTCTTCTGACCTCCATGAGTACCAGACACTCACATGGGGCACAGATAAACATGCAGGCAAAACACCCATACACGGGAAATAAAAATTAATAAATCTTCTTTAAAAGATACACAAGATAAATTGTACCTGAGGAATACCTCTGGCCTCCA